ATGAACTCTCCCTTGTTATTCATTTGCTCCCCAGCTCACGCTGGGTGAGCTTTCCTGGTGGTTGGCCCCCAAGTGAATTGAGGGGCTCCTGCAGTCAGGGAACAGCTGAAATCAGGGTGTATTTCCCAGTCTCTTATCCATGCCTGGATCAGCACCCTGGCTGGAATGCCTCTGGCTAGCAAAGTCAATTGGGCATTGGGTACTAAACATTACTGGAGGAAAACTCGAGTACCAAGGCTTATAAGGAAGAGCCATATGAATGTGGCAGCTGGGACTGTGGAGGAGGAGAACTGGAGAAGTCAGGGCACTCTGGGAGCTGAGAAAAAGGAGAGAATTACTTCTTTGAAACTGAAATCTTACTTTTTTTGAAGTCTGAGAAGGGACTTGAAAAATTGCAAATGTCAGATCAAGCAGAGGTAAGAAGAAATGTCAGATGTTGTAGTTCTAGACCCATCTCACTGTGCCATGCAAGCCCTAATGCAGTGAGATGCAGAGGGAAAAATAGGTAAACTGCCTTCCCATCCTGTGGAATGGGGTGGAAAGACAATGTCTGAAAAGATGTAAATGCTTTGTTTTGTAACCCTGTTTCTCTCCCCCCAGGCCAGCCCCTGGGACCCCGCAGGCTCAGCCTGAAGCCGGTCCCCAAGCTGCCCGACATGGAAGCCTTTCTCAGCCAAGCCCGTGTGAGGGTGAAGAAGCAGGCGCAGGGGTGCCTGGCTCCGGAGCTGTGCTTCCAGGCCGTCAGGGCCGCCACCCAGATGCCCTTCGCCGACGGGGTGCGCAGGGAGCGAGAGCTGTTCATGGTCCTGCTGAGCTCGGGCCAGGCCCGGGCCCTGCAATACGCGTTCCTTGCCGAGAGAGCCGCGCAGAAATGGACAACTCCCGGCGGGGCCTCCTGGAGCAGCGCGACCCCACAGCCCGTCCGCTCTGCGGCCGTGATCGGTAAGCGAGGGACAGGGCTGTGGGGCTGGCACGGAACAGCGGGTGTGGGGCACCAGGGAACGGCAGAGCTGAGGGGGGATCACTGTGATCTGTGGGGCACCAGGGAATGGCAGAGCTGAGGGGGGATCACTGTGATCTGTGGGGCACCAGGGAACGGCAGAGCTGAGGGGGGATCACTGTGATCTGTGGGGCACCAGGGAACAGCAGAGCTGAGGGGGGATCACTGTGATCTGTGGGGCACCAGGGAACAGCAGAGCTGAGGGGGGAATCACTGTGATCTGTGGGGCACCAGGGAACGGCAGAGCTGAGGGGGATCACTGATCTGTGGGGGATCACTGTGATCTGTGGGGCACCAGGGAATGGCAGAGCTGAGGGGGGATCAGTGATCTGTGGGGCACCAGGGAACGGCAGAGCTGAGGGGGATCGCTGATCTGTGGGGCTGAGCAGAGAGAACAGCACGGCTGAGGGGGATCAGTGATCTGTGGGGCTGAGCAGAGAGAACAGCACGGCTGAGGGGGATCAGTGATCTGTGGGGCTGAGCAGAGAGAACAGCAGAGCTGAGGGGGATCAGTGATCTGTGGGGCTGAGCACAGGGAACAGCAGAGCTGAAGGGGGATCAGTGATCTGTGGGGTTGAGCACAGGGAACAGCAGAGCTGAGGGGGATCACAGAAGGCAGGAGTGGGATTCCCAGAGTCACACCCATCACAAGCACAGATACTCCACCCAAAGAGGGAAGTTGTCACTGCATTGGCAAGCTCAGAAATTCACATGGCATCTCATATCCCACTACATTATTACCTGCTGCCACATCTTTCTTTGGAAGAATAACTTCCTCTCACTTCAAAAACAGCTTTGTGTGTGTGGACCACATGGAGTCTGCTCCCTTTTAAACACTCTGTGTCCTGGCTTTGTGTCGTGTTAGAAGCACGTTTGTATGAAATTCTCCTCCTCCTGGTCTAGTTCTGCACTGCAAGTGCATGTGCAGAGTCACTCAGGGATATATTAATACAAAAAATGTTTTGACAGCTGTATTTTAAGAAGATTTCATCTCACTGGGATCCACTCCTGCCATTTTGTAGCCCAGCAAGATAATGCCTTCATTAATTTTTTATAAGAGCAATTTAAATAAAACCTTTGATGCACTGCTGAGATTAAAAAAAAAAAATCTTTCAGCTCTGCCTGTTGATAGTAGCACTAAAAAATGGTTAGACAAGTAATGGAGCCCTTGGAAAACATCCACTCTGCTTCAAGGAAATCTCACCAGATCAACACTACTCTTTTTCTGGGTGTTTCTCGGGGCTATTGAGCTGTCTGACAGTTCATTTCAGCCATAACACTGGGGTTTTTTGGAAGTTCCCTTCTCTTCATTGGCTGCCATGCCATATTTTTAATAAGAATAATTTTTAAACACTGGTCCATAAACCCTGGGTGGAGGGTCTGTGGCTGTTAAAGCATTCAGGTAAAGAGGCATTAATTATTACCAAGTGTATTCTGTGGCTTGAAGAGCACAGAACTTTGGACACAGGCAGGTCCCATCCTGAAATGTGTGCTCTGCCAGGAGGGGCTCTTGTTGGAGTTTGTAGGAATGCCTGGGTGACTGGAACGGACATTCTTTGCTATGTACTGATAAACCAGCCAGAACAACACACTTGCAAAGACCTAATCGCTGTGACAGTTTAGCCAGAAGGGCTGTTAGATCTGATCTGCCTATTTTGGTGCTGTAACTGAGCTACAGAGAATTCTGAGGACAAATTGCAACCTCTATTTGAAAGCTTCCAGGAGAAACGTAACCTGTATTTCATTTCCAAACTGAACTGGCTGGGCTGCATCTCTCCCATCCATTGGATTAAGTATTTGCCTCATCTCCAGACAGATTTCTGAATTCTGGTCTGAAATTGCCCCAACCTCATGCCCAAGTTTCAGTGTTTTCATAGATGATTACAAACAAAGCTCAAGTTAACCATATTTCTGCAGAATAAATAAACTAAGTGCTTTCACACTTCTGCTGCAGAGCACAGTCTGTCACACTCTGGTCCTTGTCATGACCTTGAACTTCACCTAATTTTTCAACACTTCCTAAACATGCATAGCCAAAGTGGGAACAGCATTCCAGGAGTAATTACACCAATACCAAGTACCAAGAGGTTTCTTCCTTGCTCCTACTTAGTATGCTCAGGGTAAGAGCCAACTTTCATACTCGCCACATTTAACACATCCTGTTAATTACCTGCTGGCAGGGAGCAGCTGCACCCCGGGGATGGGGAGCCAGTGGCAATAACACCTCCTGGAGAGCAGAACCACAGAATCTGCCAGGCAGGAAGGGATCTCTGAATGTCATCTTGTCCTCAAATGACATCACCTGGAGCCACTTGCCCAAGACCATGCCCAGACATCTTTTGAACATCTCCAATGATAAAGGTTCCACAACCTCTGTGGGCAACCTGTGCCAGTGCTCAGTCAACTCCACAGTAAACAAGTTGTTCTCTTATGTTCAGATGGAACTCCCGTGTTTCAGTTTGTGCCTATCACCAGTGGCCACAAGTCTGACTCCATCTTCTTTACACCTTTCTCTCAGCTACTTATATTAGTGACATCCCTCCAAGCTGGAGTCACAGCTCCCTCAGCCCTTCCTCATGGACACACTGCAGTCCTTTAATCACCCTACTGGCCCTTCACTGAACTCACTCCACATCAATCTCATGCTGGGGAGCCTGGAGCTGGGCCCAGCACTCCAGGGATGGTCTCATCAGTGCTGAGTAGAAGGGCAGGATCATCTCCTTCAAGCTGCCAGCAAGGCCCCTCCTAACACAGCTCCACATACCATTAACCTTCTTTGCCACAAGGTCATATCACTGCTCAGACTCAACCTGGTGCCCATCAGCACCCCCAGACCCTTTCCTGGGGAGCTGCTTTCCAGCCCCCAGCATGTGCTGGTGCACAAGACTGCTCCTCCTTGCGTGCTGGCCTTTAGCAATTCCCCGTGCTGAGCTTCCTGAAGCTCCTACCCACCCATTTCTCCCCCTGGATGGCAGCACAACCCACTGCTGCATCAATATTTACAGTACCTGAGCAGGGCAAGCAGGGTAGGCCCAGAGATCACAGCCAGGACCCACTGGAAGTACAGGTGATCAAGGAAAGTTCCTGGGATGATGTAGGTACAAGATAAAGGTGGGAAGTCACTCTTCAGGCTGAGGTCTGGATCAACAGCATCCATAGCCTGGCACAGCCACAGTAACCCACCAGAACTCCTCCAGCTTGGCTTAGGAAAAGACTGCAGACTCAGGTCTGAGCTTAAATGGGGCTCAGAGGCCCATATGGGTGGGGGAGGCTCCAGGTGTGGCTGCTCAGGGACATTAAAGCTCATCAGTGCACTCAGGGCCATGACACTCACCCAGACACTGATACCTTTGCTAAGTCACTGCTCCTATCACTCAGCCCCCATTGCCCACCAGTATAACTTGCTCTGTTTATGCTCTTGTTGATGTCATATTTTATTTGATGTGACATCTCCTGTTTCAGAGGTTCTTGATCGCCTTTTTTAAACCCTGAATCCCACACCAAAGTGGCACTGATTTCCACCACTTCTTTCTGCCATTTGTTGTGTTTCTTCTCCTTCCTCTAGAAGGTTTTCCTCCTATTTTGCCTTTGGGTATCAGTGAAATGGCAAGTCTGTTAAAGACAGGTGGAGAACATGCCAACACAACTGTAATTCTTCTTTCAGGCTGCTGTAAGAAAGTCATTCTCCAGCCAGTAAAATGCTCTACAGCGTTTTGTAACATCACATTTTTGATCTTAAGTACATCCTTGCAGCACCGGAAATCAAAATTTTAGGGATGGTTTTTGAGAGACTGGCAGCTTTTAAAACAGTGCTGCTCATCCATGCAAACATTGAGTCTACCGAGGTGACCCAGGGTCTCTCTATTTTCACTGCAGGGAGGAGGACAGTCAGAGAAAGATATTGCATCCCTTTAGGCTGTCAGAAATCAAGCAAACCTCATTTTGCAACCGTGCTGTGCTGTTTCACACACTACACCCATGTTGCACTGTGCTGCTGCTTCCATCTTTTATTGCTGCACAATGTGAAGCAAGTGAGAAGATCACGTTGAGTTTTTCATGTTGACTTTTTGTTTCATTTGCTTGTTCTGAACTCTTGGCTCCCACCTCTTTTCGCTGTCTCTGGCTCCTCATCACCCAGAAAAAGAGCTCTTCTCCCTCTGTCCCTTCCAACTGCATCTCCCCATAGCTCCCTGCCTGCCTGGAGTATCACATTACTTCTGCTTGAAATTAGTACCCTGAAACAGAGAAAGCAGCAGCTCCAGTCTGCAGCAGCCCGCCACCACCAATTGCTCATTGTTGTTTTTAACAGGAAAACTGGAACAGTCTTTGCATATTTTTACCGATCTATAAAGGATTTTTTCCATTGCCAGGCATTTTAAAGTCCAAATATTCATTAGAGTTCAGAATGTTTTCCACTGATCTGTATTTCTGTAGTGCGTGTGACTACACAAGTTGCCTTGTACATATTTCAAGTTCTTTTGTTTTGAAATTTGTTTTTAAAGTCCTTCAATTAATTCTGTATGATTTTTCGTATTCTGAGTACCTCGTGACAGATCAATAATTAACCATCATTATTCACTCAGCTTGCCCAGCAAATGGATTTGTCATACCCATATTTGGCCTGAAATTACATGTGTTCAAGTGTAGTTTTATTTATATGTCAAAGCTTCATTTCACAACAAAAGACCAGGAGCAGGATGGCTGGGCACTGTTCTTGTTCCTGAGGCAGATTTCAGTCTTTTTTGGGAAGATTTGCCTTGGACATGAAAACAGTCCCCTGCCTGCAAGATGAGAATATAGGGTTTTTCATGGTTTGGGGGAAGTGAGAGCACTATTGAGTAAGAAAATGGAACATGCAGTAGAAATTCTGGAGTAGTTCCTCACCGTGTTTTGGCCCGTGTGATCTGAGCTGAGCATGAGACATCTCCCTTCCTCTTCCTTCTACAGCCTTCTCACATGTAAGACCCAAAGATTCCCTACCATTATTTTCTGCTCTAATATATTCTTCCCCAAGATCACTTGGCTTTACGAAAAGGAAAAGGGGAGTCCTCAGAAATGCTCTTTCCCTGCTGGATAGCCAGAGCTCTCCTTAGTTTTATAGCCCAATTTTAGAAAATACCTCCAGGGGAATCATGCTGTGCAAGCTCTAATGTAACAAACCCCTTGGGGCTTTCATTACTCTCTCTGCCAGCTTCATTAAACATCATCTCATACAGGCCACTGCAGAGTTCTGGAGGAAGTTGAGAGACAGCTTTTCTAGGTCAGAAACAAGCTTGGCAAGCTCACATCTTATCCGTAAGTCTGTGCCTGTGGCCTAGAAAGTGTAGTACTACAAGCAAGTGTGCCTGTCCATCATGGGATGGCTAAAACCCACGTGGGAGCACTCGTGATGAAAGCAAAGAGGGGAATCACCTCGCACCACTGCAGAGCTTCCCTGCAAAAGAAGGCTGGGGAACGTCTGCTCATGGAAGAGGTTTGGATTCAGGAAGAACAGTGTGCTCAGATGGCGAGAGAACTGCTAAGATTTCAGTCACGAGGCTGAACCTGAGAGGAACAGGAGTCAGTAAGACCCAGGATGTGTGAAGAGCTTGGAAATTCTAGGGAAAACCCCAGGACTCCACCCTGGAAATGAAGAGACTGAAGAGGGAGCCGTGTGGAACTGCAAACACTTAAGCCTGATGTCTAAAGACACCTTATAGAGGGGGCTGGGCCTGGGGAATGAGTTACCCTCCTGTACTGCCCAAGGAGAGAGCAGTTCCTGTAGCTCACCAAAGACAGGGAAAAACTGTCCTTAACTGTACCTGCTCCCACATCCAAGGTTCTGGGGACTGTGCACTATGGAAGGAGCTACTTGTGTTTGGGTTTTTTCAGTCAGCAAACGTGGACACTGAAGTACTAAGAGCTGATTCATGTTATTCTAGTTTTATTTTCAAATTAGTTTTCAGTAGGACTTGATTATTAAGTAGCAAATCTAATTTCCTAGAAAGGAACTTCATCACTTGCTTAGAAGTGGTAATGATGGTTTATAAGCAGGCTGCCAGCTAGTGATGTCAGTAAAAACTATCTTCTGGTGGCTGAGTAGGGAGTGTTTGAAATGTCTTGTGTGCACACAAGCTGAGGCTGGGCAGAACTATACCAAGGATGTGTAGCACGCAGGAAAAACGTCCTACCTTGCTTGACCTTGGTTATTGGAACTTCTTTGAAGGATGACATCATTTCAGCTCTTCTTTACAAAGCTGCTTTAGGCAAATTTTTTAATCCCCTTTTTTCTGTATATTTGTTTAGCTGACTTTCATTTGTAAACCTGGGATTAAAAAAAATCATTTTAACAGAATTATAACAAACCTCTGCTTTGTCTGGTTGGTGCTTTACTTAGGATATTAATAATCCTTCCATTCAGATGCTTCACACTTCTAAAGCTGGTAAAATGGGCTGACCTTCTCTTACTAGTTTGCATTAACTTAGCTGGAAAAGCCTCCATCGTGGGAGAGCAGGCTCAGTGGTGTGGGTTGTGTGTCACAGGAAAGGGTAAGTGTGCAGCTTCATTTGATGTCACAGAGGGCAGAGCTGGTGGAAGGGATCAAGCCAGTAATCTCCACACTGGTATTCCTGATGGTGGTGGCACATTTATGGTCTTGGAGAGAAAAAAAAGCACAGCATAAATTCTTTAACAGGAATTCTTTAACTGTGTGGTTGGACAAGGAAGGCTGTGACTTTGGGAATCTCCAGATGTTAGGAATGACCTGTGTTGGAGGACTTGGAGAGTGGGTAGAGATGCCTGATATGAAGTGTGAACCGCAGGCAAAAGGCTACTGATGTGCCAGAGTGCTTTAAAAGGAGAGAGAAGGTGTTGAATTCTGGATTGGGAACACTGTGTCACTTCCATCCCGTTTGTCCTGGCAACAAGAGACACACAAGACATTAGAGACAGAGTTTAGAGCAGATCAGAGTCCAAGAGTCTTTACAGAAGGAGCAGCTGAATTTTCCTTGCTCCAAAGATTACATGATGGTGGTGGGAGAAGAAGAGGGAGACAAAGGGGAAAGTAGGGAGAAGGAGGGAGAACCCAACTGTCTGAGCTTTGCTGGTGTCAAAATCTTACTAGCAAAGTATTTGCATGCTGCCCAAAACAGACCATCTCCCAGGAGCAGTGGGGCACTGACAGCCTCAGGGGGAAGCTCGCTTTGAACCTGCCTGCAGAAGATGGTAGCAGGGTTGCAGCTGTAACTCAGATTTTCTCTCTTTGATCTCCAGGTTCTCACTCAAGTGATGCTGGTTTCCATAGGTATAAAACTTGGCAGGGAGAAGACATGAATCAAATGGTCTGTGCCCACTGAGTGAATCCCAGTGGACTTTTGTGAGCTTGTAAGGACACTAACTTGCCTTTGTGCTACTGCTTTTCAAACATTAGGGCTCGCTGAAAGAGAGAATTCCCCTTCTGTTTTCCAGTCTTCAATTCTTTTTTCTGTGTGTGCACCACTTGTTTTGCAGAGGCTATCACTTTTTATCCTGGAGATACAAAGGAAATTATACTGTCAAGTGATTAATTTTCCATTCATAGTCTTTGATTCTATCTCACTTTTATCCCTAGGGCTGGGAACAATGGGCAGAGGCATTGTGACTTCTCTGGTTAAGGCCAACATACCTGTGGTAGCCCTGGAGCAGGATCTGGAGTATCTGAACACGGGAAGAAAAGCCGTGATGCTCCTTTTGGAACGTGAGGCGATGAAAATGGAGGTGGGTGCCCAGACCCTGGATTTCCATAACCCTGCACGTCTCCAGTTCACTGTGGACTTTGATTCTTTGCGTGATGTGGATCTCGTCATTGAGGCTGTGTTTGAGAACATGGCACTGAAGAAGGAAATATTCCACAAGCTCTCGAGGATCTGCAAGCCAGGGGCCTTGCTGTGCACAAACACGTCAGCCCTGAACATCGACGAAATAGCTTCTGCCACCAGCCGCCCACAGCAGGTCATTGGCACCCACTTCTTCTCCCCTGCCCACGTGATGAGGCTGCTGGAAATAATCTATGGCCGCCACACGTCCCCCACGGCCATCGCCACGGCCGTGCAGCTGGCCAAAGCACTCAAAAAGGTTGGAGTGGTGGTAGGGAATTGCTTTGGGTTTGTTGGGAATCGAATGATGTTCCCGTACGTACAACAGGCAGTTTTCCTTTTGGAAGAAGGAAGCAGACCGGAAGCGGTGGATCGGGTCCTTGAAGATTTCGGGTTTAAGATAGGACCGTTCCGCATGTCCGACCTGGCTGGGCTGGATGTGGGCTGGAGGTCGCGGCAGGGCCAGGGCCTCACGGGGCCCTCGGTGCCCGCGGGGACGCCGGCGCGGCAGCGGCAGGGCCAGCGGTACAGCCCCCTGCCAGACCTGCTGTGCGAGAGCGGCCGCTTCGGCCAGAAAACCGGCAAGGGCTGGTACCAGTACGAGAAGGCCGGGGGCAGGACAGCCACGCCAGACCCGTGGCTCCACAGCCTCCTGGCCCAGTACAGGGACACCCACGGCATCGAGCCCCGCTTCATAGACCAGGAGGAAATCCTGGAGCGGTGTCTGTTTTCCCTCATCAACGAAGGCTTTGCCATCCTGGCTGAGGGAATAGCATCGGGCCCAGAGCACCTGGATGTGATTTACATCAATGGCTACGGGTGGCCAAAGCACAAGGGCGGCCCCATGTTCTACGCCTCCACCGTGGGGCTCCCCCGCGTGCTGGCCAAGCTGCACAAGTACTCTGAGGCCCATCCTGATGTCCCTGGGCTACAGCCCAGTGCCTTTCTGAAAAAGCTGGCGGCTGTGGGAAACCCCCCCATCAAAGAGTGGATGTCCTACCTCAGCCAGCAGAGCTCCAGGCTGTGATTCCACTGGTGGAGGCTGATCCCATGGAATCAGTGCTGTAATTGCACCGTCTTTTCCAATCAAACCCAAAGTGCTACAGGCTCATAAACAATGTCATGAACCTTCCTGGGCCTTTGCAGGAAATAACTTTGGCCAGTGATTGATCCCAGTCTCCCTCTTGCTGCAGGTAACCACTGCCTTCATCCACTCTCCTTCCTCAGCCCCAGCCTCACCCACCTTCTCACACACTGCTGTGTAAAGGCCTGTCTCGTATTGCACTGCCCCTGGGTTGTCACAGCTGTCCTCCTCTTCCAGTTTGTCTATGGGAAGGCAGGGAAGAGCATCCACAGCCCACAGTGCAAATCATGGTTGGAGCCAATAGAGAGATGATCACAGTTCACCCCAGACTGGCTGGATCTACCAGATCCTGCCTTCAATGTGTTTCTCAGTTTGTTCAGTTCTTTCCTGTGGAGCCCACCTCCACTGGATTCTCTGGATCTCCCACGGACATCCAGCTGAAGCCTGATCCCTTCCTGCTGCTGTGGGAGTGTTGGCACAAGGGTGTGGCACCTTTCAGAGGTAAAGTCAAATGAAGTGGAGAAAGTCTGGGCAGAGAGCAAGGGGCAGGGCTGGTACCATCCCTCCTCGCTGCTGCAGAGGAGACTAATAAATGCCAGAAAAGCCACAAATACATCAACCTGCCTACAATGCCCTGTGGTGTTGGCTCACGACTGGCCTTCTACATCCAGACTCCATCCTCCCTTACCATTATCCCCACCTGGCTTTGTCCAAGCAGAAACATCTTCTGGCACCTCTTCAGTGTGGAAATGTGTTGCCATCACTCCCCCATCTTGCCTGCCTACAGCTACCAGGTCTTGGGGCTCAGCAGGCTCTAATTGACCAGATTCAAACCAGATTCACATTTTCACATGGGCAGAAAGCACACTGAGAAGGGCAGGGCACAAGAGCTGTGCAGGCAGGGGCACTGCTGCAGGCAGGCAGGGAGGTGACAGATCCCTAGCAGAGAGCAGAGGAGAGGGAGAGGGAGCCAAACTTGCTCCAGGCTTTGGGACAAAGTCTCCCATTTCACGTGTCTAGTAAATGTATCTTGCAGCCTGATGTGGGGAATAGGCTGGTCTGGGTTCCCTTCTCAGGGACACTGAATGTCTAACTTTTGCTTTTAATTTAATAAAACTGCTTTGATAATCTAATGATGGATTATGTGGTATCAAATGGGATAGCAGAAAAAAGAAAATGTGCTTGTTCCTTGTTTTCTCTCTGTCACCTCTCTATGTGGTAGAACTAGATAATTTTCCTGTTTGTGTCTGAGAAGGCTGCATGCCTCTTTTTCTTTCCCTCAGTATGTTCTTATTTTGCCCTTTGTCTACTCCTGTGCATCAGTGGGTGAGAGTGCAAAACTGAGGGCAGGAAACCCTTCAGAAGTCCCAAGCCAACCTAAGTGCCTTGTTCCAGGGAGGATTTTTCTCCAGGACCAGAGAAGGATCTCAGTGTAGCCCAGCAAACTGCTGCAGTTCACTCCAAATCACTCATGTGCAGAGCTGAGAGCAGCCCAGCGTTAGCTCCGAGGTGAAGCACTGCTCCCACGCCAGCAGCCTCCGTGTGACACGTTACACAACAGCCCTGCCTGCTGCTGGGGCTGGCATGGCACCCACAGCACAGTCCTGGACATGGCACCCACGGGACAGCCCTGGGCATGGCACCCACGGGACAGCCCTGGGCATGTCACCCATGGGACAGCCCTGGGCATGTCACCCATGGGTAGCCCTGGACATATCCAGGTAGCCCTGGACATGTCACCCACAGGACAGCCCTGGACATATCACCCACGGACAGCTCTGGATGTGTCACCCACAGGACAGCCCTGGACACGAGGGTCTGCCCGGGCCAACGTCCCCTCTCCTGTGCCTTGGGCCAGGATGTTCACTCGCACTGGGGAGGGGTTGGGAAAGGGCAGTTCCCCTTGCAGTGGCAGCAGGCTGTGCAGGAGAGAGCATGCCCTTCCTCTGCAGCAGCAGTGCTATCTCAGGACATGGAGACTCACGAGCTCACCCTGGGGCCAAAGCGCTTCTCCTCACCTGCAGCACCTGTGTGCTGGTGCATTTGATGTGCCTGTCCCCCTCCTCAGAAACTGCTGAGACCAAAGGCTGTTCACACCAGTAACGCCTCTCCCGACAGAAGTTCATTTGTAAATTCACATCGACCAAAGCAGCCCGGCATCGATTGTTCTGTCAGCCTGACGTCCCAGCAGCCAGCGGTGACATTGCTGCCGCCGAGAGGTCGCATTCCCAGTTCCGGGAGGGCGGGAGCAGTGTGTGGGAGTCCCGGCCTCTGCACTGCTCCGCTCCCGGCAGGGCCAGAGCGGCCAAAGGGCCACCACAGCTCCTTGGCCCTCGGCCCTGCAGGGGGACAGCCTGATCCCAAGCCCCTGGTGCCTTCTGACAAGCAGTCCGAGCAGAAGGCACCAGCCTGTTCTGTGAACCTCTTTGGTAAGTTGTTAAAATAACAGCCTTGCACAGTCCCCATCAGCTCAAATGTGCAGTGATGCCAGAAATATGCCCATGAGTGAAATGTTTCTTCATTTAACAGGAGAGAACACAGCCCTGTGCAGAGGAGAACTTGATAACCACTTGGTACAGGATTAGTTTCCCCAC